TACAGTTCAAATAAGTATTACAGTTATTATATTGTTATAAGATATTTCTTCCACCTTCCTAGCATGCTTTCGTGGTGTAGTGGTTAGCACGCTTGACACGTATTCGAGAGATGCGGGGTTCGCCCGGCGAGGGCATTACTCATTGTTCACCTTTCTTGCTTTGAAATAACCTAATGTCTCTACAGTTACGCCCGAAATAAAAAAAATTAATGAAAGCTCAATTTATTAAAAGATATCCATTATGGTTATCTAGTTTGAAGGACACATTTTTTATAGAATTTAAAGTGCATTTTTGGCTTCTATTTATAGTAAATATATATCTCTAAGTCTTATAAAAAAACTGAAAACAACTCATGTGGCTAAGACCAAAACATAATTTCTTTAATGCTGGACCTTAACAGCAACTCTTTAATGCTGTTATCGTCTAAACCTCATGCGTTTACTAAATTTAATGATCATAAGTTACAAATTTAATGCATTTCTTCAATGCTGTTATTATCTTTGGTTAATTTATCATTACATCATGCGAACTTTCGCTGGTCCAGAGCGCAAGGTGTAAGCATATATCTCAGTTATGTACTCTTAAAGATCCGCATTATTATATGTATAAGCTTACGTCAGCTAACTGAAATTATAACTAAAATGTTTGATTTTTTTCTTAATGTTATATATCTAAATCTTACTCTGGATATAAAAGAAAGCATATTAAAAAATTTGAAAAAAAAAAGAAACCTGAAAATCTTAGATTTCAATCTAATACGTCGCAGATTTTGTCATTAAAAATGGGAGAAAATTCATTTTTTTATTAAAAATATAAAAGATTAAAAAAAACTGCAACTTGATCTCGACATAAAAAGTCCATTTCGGTACTTAAGATAGTTTCAAGCCGAGGAATTATAATTGCCTACTAGTTAAATATTAGTCGCCTGGAAATTAAAGATCTGGAGTATAAAGTTTTATATTTAAAATTAGCTTTACTGAAATCTTATACTTAAAAATACCTAATTATTCAAGTTGCAGCTCTGCATTTACCTCATTGGATCGCTTGCGCTCGAGACATGAAACAAATATTTCTCTCAGGTAAGAAATATTTTCTATTTTGCGACGATACGAAGACCTCGAGCTGGAAGAACAGTTAACAGCCTTCTTCGAGATGTTTAATGCGACTGAAAAACTAAGAAAATAAAAGTATTTCTCAGTTTTCCTTATGAAGCGGTATCAACGACAGATATATTTCGAATTGCCAGATGAGCCTAAATCTCAGTGACTTTTCAGATTTCTTATTTTCTTCGATGTCTAGTTAGAAAGTCACAAGCAATTTTATAAATATAAAAGTATATAATATTTATAAGCACATATGCGACTTTTCCAATACGCAATGAGTTTGTACATTTAACATGACAGTTTAATAGAGGAAATTTATTGACATCAGTATTCACATGTATATATGTCGCGATACATGTAAGTGATTTTCAATAATCAAAACCATCTTTATGTATCTTGTAACAGCGCTATAAATTTTCAGAATTCAAGAAGAAACGAACTTTAGATTAAAATCCATCAGTGTAAATCTAAAACATGCATTACTTACATGTTTCTGAATGAATTTTTATTATTTTAATAATAATAACATACTCCTAGCTAGGTAAAAAATGCCTCACAAATAAACTTCTGCTTTTGAGACTTCAGTTATTAATAATAAAATTAATTAATAATAGTAAGTGCTAAATTAAAATTTAGATTTTTACTACACTTAAGTATTTTATTTATTTTATAAATTTCCTTCTACCTGATGAGTTAAATAATCTTACATGAACATTTCTCAAGTCAAGAGCTATACACGCAGTTGAAAAAATGCATGTCAGAAAAATTGAGTATTAATAAAAGTACCAATTACCAACTTATTCCAGTGCTTGCAAAAGCATTAATGTTTTGTTTTATTAAGAATGTAATAAAAATTTATATTAAGATGAATGGTTACAAATGCAAAGAGCATAAAACTGTATCTAATGTATTTTATTAAGCTTATACGAATATATCACCATACGTCATTTGCAGTTGTTGAAATATTAGAAATTTTAATAACAAATATTTGCCTTGCTAGATTAGTCTGAGTAACATAACTATTATTTATTACATTGTTGGATATATTGAAGGTCTACTATTCAATCGACATATGTTGAAGAATATTAGTCTTATTGGATTAGTAATATTTTAGATCAATTTAATTAGGCCGCATTCTTAACACATTGCACTAAGCAAGAAAAAGAAAAAAATCTCTTTTGATTTCGTTTAATGCTTTTTTCATAACTGTAATAAGAACCCGAGCTTGACAGAATTATCAGTCCCACGTTTCGGTGTTCAAAAGAATCAGTGCTGAAGTTTTTTATTATATATGTTGTATTATTATAAGTCAAAAGTATCTTCCTATAGCAAAAGATTATAGCAAACAATTTACTTGATACCTATATGTTGTCCAACTTAAGAGTAACTCAAATATCTCGTTACAATTACTGGCTGATCTAAATCGTCTGCTTCTCCAGACAATTACTCTACAACCCATTTCAGTAGACACTTGCATGAAATTATGGATTGGCATTGACAGATGTTATATTATAGTCAAGTAGGCGTGAAATGAAATTTATGACATAAAACAATGCATTCTATATGGCACAAAGCCGCACAAGCACAAAAAAGTGTCGAGCAGACAAAATGACGAAGAAAAATCAACCAAAAGGAAGGACAAAGTAATTAGAACTTTTTACTTCACATAAAGGGAACCATTTAATTCAATGCTAAGGTGGCTAAATATCTTACATCAGAGAATCCGTTAAAATTTGCTAGGAAAGTCTAAAAAAATTTATCGGTACGAAGAAAAAGTCTGAAAGAAAGGATTTAGTTATATAAAAAGGACTCCTTCAAATTTAAGTAGATTGACAACACAAAAGTTTTTTTTTTTAAAGCATTCATAAAAGAACAATTGTGAGTGGGCCGGAGACCGCCGGATGTTATGGTGAGCCCGTCTGCTACCGATATGTTATGAACTGAGAAGAGGGTAATAGTCTTTGTTTTAACCTTGCACAAAGCGTCAACTAAAGCTTTTAGGGGTCTTTTCGAAGGGGTCGGTGGGGGGGTGGGGGGGTTGGGCACAGGGTGGGGGTAGTGGGTTCGGGATTTTATACCTTGTGGGGCGGGGGGGGTGGGGGGGGCGCTCGGGGCGGTTTTTTTTTATCCAAACTCGGATTTTAAAGGTAGCAGATGCTGTTAAAGGGTTAAACTCAGAGTAGAAATTCAAAACACATCTTTAATCTTTAATGTAATAATAGTTTACCGTCAAGAAAGAAGAACAACTGCAATCATAAAATATTAATAAGAGAAACACTTCTATTTGAAGAAACACAATATTGTTACGCAGTCTACAAGATAGTAAGAGATACTGCTTACTTTCTTCAATAAATTAGGAGGGGAAGTACACATAGTACGTTATTGCTTCCATTATACGGAAGTGGACGGACAAAGAAATCTAAAAGGAAATTTTATATGAGTTATTTCACTTTTGCTCTATTGAACCAGGTAAGAGCCAATTTTGAGTAAACATCATGTGTATTACCTCAGGGTTATACAAAAACTTTCTGAAGCTCTTCTATGATACGAAAGCAAATTACGGTGATATAAAATCTTAGGGTTTAAAACTATTTTAACTGAGTGGAAAATGCAGTCAGAAACATGTTTGAAATTAATTAGTTTAAACATGTAAATTATTGGACAAACTATGTGGAGCCGCTGGGGCTTTTTAATAAAATTGATCATGATATGATATATAAGTAGTATAAAATTACGTTAAGAAATGTGATAGCCAAACGAAATTTTGCTCTAAGGCATAAAAAAAGGAGAGTTAGAAATCTTGGTAGATCAGTATCTACCAAAAGTTATTAATTGTGGGATTTTTTACCCAAGAGGATTTAAGAGTATTTAGTAAATTAAGTTATGCAAAACATTATTTCTTTCTAAACTGCGTAATGTTTCTTAATTAATAAAATTATCTCCAGTAAGATAGACCAGTCTTGTATTTGCGTCAGAAATACTGTAAGCAATATGAACGTAAAAAATTCTTCACATAACAGTAAATGTACATGTAAAATATAACTATCAGTAAATATATGTTTATTGATTTAATGAGAACAGGGTAAAGAGATGTATTTCTATCGTTATCCGAATGTAACGAGAGTATAGCGAAATGCTCATTTTTATTAGCAAAACTGTATTTTTCACATTAAAATTAATGTAAAATAATGAAATAAATGCAGTTTTCTTTTAATTTATAAATAATGATACAATACGTTTACATGCTAAAAATAATAAATTAACTATATATACGCATATCATGTTTCGGAATAATTACGTTTTTAAGCAACTCGAACAGTAAAATCTCCCTTAATTTCGCTAACAATCGTTATAAATTATCTGCATTATAATACATAACGTGATAAAAAAGAAAGTAAAACATTAAAACGAGCAAATAAACAAAGAAAATGTGAACGATTGGCTATCTTTCAGAATGAAATGAAGATCACATACGAAAGCAAAAGGTAAACGCACCATAATAAATTAGTCATAAATTAAAGAAAACAATAAAAAATTACAGGAAGAAGAAACAGAAAATTGAAAAGTTAGCCATTTATTCTCAAAACCATTTTCAATTTCTTTTCTTCAAAACTGTTTTCTATTTAAAAGGAAGACTCATTATAATGGCAGGTAAATTAAAAGAAATGCTTAAATACTCACTACCTCTATCAAAGATTCCAGAAGTTTCATGCTCCTATACCTTTATTCCATATTCAGAGTTATTATAGTTTTAAAAATTTTTTATATGCACAAGTTATTCATATTCTCCTTTCATTAAAGATAACATTTAATGGAATATTTCCTTCCATTCAAGAGCAACGTTTTATTTATGCCCTAGTAAAACTTTAATTAAACAAAATAACAAAAGTACTCACCTTTCTCTACTCTTTTTGGAGTGACTACTCTGAAAGCGCTCCCCATTTCTCTGCAGAATCCCAGGCCACGAGGTGGTGGCGTAGAACCTGTTCTGCAGACCCCTTCCAGCTGACCCCTCACTTTATCTGGGGGTGGAGACGGTCTGGTCATGAGGGAGTTCGCTTCCTGGTGATGCTTCGTATTTTGATGGCCTCAGTATTCGTAGTTTGATGGCTCTTTACAGGACTTATCTAAGATCTTTATTGTTTAATCATTTCTTTTGCCAAAAGGAGAGGAGTATCATTATTTTTGGCAAATTAAATAAAAAGGTGACTGTTGTTGCCACTTCGGAGTCTAGTAAACTCTCTACGTGTTTTTAAAGATTTAGAAGAAATATTTAGTCAATGTGATGCTTTCAGAAGAGAGTTCAAACTCGGTATTTTCGGAATGAAAGATAAACTGCAGATCTACAGAGAGTTTTTGAAGCAAGTTTCCTGATTATTGAAGGAGGATTCAGACTTTTATTTCTTCACTAATAATCAAAGAATTTATTAGTATTTTAATAAGGTATATGGACTTTATGAATCTATTGCATAACGCATGTATTTCCGTTTCTAATTTCTTGAAATGTCTGAGCCAGATGTAGAGTTCCGAAGTTGAAATAATTAGAGCTTCTTCGAAGAGTAATTACATAATAAATAAAATATTTGACCTCTTTTTTTTGAGAGAAAAAGAGTTTTTAAGTTCCAGCCATTTAGTTTGATAGTACTACATCTTTTCAATGTTTCCCAAAGAAAAACTTTTAGCCAGAATTTTCTTAAGCAACGATTGACTATTGACAAATAATGAAATCTTTAGTATATCTTAAGATATTTATTTCCAAATGAATCATTTTTAAATTTAAAGACATGCATCAAAGAAGTGAACTCATTTCAAAAGAGAAGCAGTCTTTTTCTTAATGACATTGCAAACTTTATGTTATTTAGTAGCGTTTCGCAGTAATTTTATTCCTATAGCTGTCAAATATTGCAAATATTTCGTTTTACATTTTCTATTATGAACTGAAGCATTGTCTATACTCTTGCACAGAATATTAAAAAAGTCTATTGGTGACAATCGGAAAAAATTATTTAAAGGTTAGTTAGGGATGGATCTTCATTTTAAATGGGCAACACTTCGAATCTTCAAGCTTTGGTGAAAAGTAAAAACGTCAATGAGTATTACTACTTGATTTCTTTTTTTATTTTATTTTATTTTATGCTTTATATAACTAAGACTGCTTTATTTCTATATTGTTCATAAAAACCTAGTTCAGTTCTTGCACAGTTTTTCTTCGCTATGATTCACAAGTTAATCATATTATAACAGCATCAATACACTTCGTATCAAACATTTAATTTTCGTTACCAATCACATGCCTCTTCTTTAATTGATTAACTCAAATTAGCCATCTCAATCATATTTCTAATCTGCAGTTTTACATAAATATTCGCTAGCAATATTGTTAGAGCCAAACATTTAGCTTGACCAGTGTCAAACCGCATACGGCATCAATCTCGGAGACCCTCCACCGATTGTCCGTTGGCTTCGGATGCCGCTTCGTGTGGGTTATATCTCGGCTACCAGGATGATTGCACGCGGACCGGCGGCTCCGTTCGTCACCGTTCGGAGTTGTGCACTTGCCGAGTGGGGCGTGTGGGTGCGTCGGGAGCCGAAAAAGGGGCGGGGTTTGAGCTCTGTTTGATGCTTTTGATTAGCGTCGGCACAAAATAAAGGAAGTCGCACGGAGTGGAGAGAGAAATACTGTTCGGAGTGCGCCTGGCATTTCATTCGAGATGTCAATCATTTATCGGTTTTTATGATATTTTTGATACCTTGAAGAGAAAGGGGGGGGATTTGCTCGATTAGAGTTTATGATTCGAATCGCAAGAGTTGAAGTTTGAGGGCGCACTTTTCGCATTTGTTGACAAACCAACTGGAAACATTTAGACTAATAAAAGCTGCTTGCATTACATACTACATTGCAGCTGTCAAACTGTCGACAAGTTTGTATAAGATCAATCAGTTTGTTTTCAGATTAGAATTTACAATAATTTGTAGATAGGAATTCAAGAACTCCTTGGTTTTCGACAAGAAATTAATTATAACTATTATTTTAAAGCAAAATATAACATATTTTTTTTTCTTTTATTTCTTTTTCATATATATATTTCCTTATTTTTATGTAAACAAAAGTTGTCTAATGGCCATCTTTGATTTTCCTTATTATTAAGTACCAAAAGCAGCGGGAAATATTTATGTGACAAAGAAAATAACTTCTAATCTTTGTGCTTTGCAATTAAGAATCGTTAACAAAAGATCAGCTCAAAGTGTAACTCGTATACGAGAAAGTTTCCATTAAAAGTCCTCCACGAATGCTTCTTCACCGTAAGCAAATAACCCTCGAGGCTTTGCTTAATCACATAAACCAAATCAGAAGATCAGCTTAACATAATGACGTTTTCTGAATACCCATCGGAATGAAACATTTTTCATCGCGATATGCTTGGTTGCGCGTTAAGCGCTTAGCTTATAAGGTATTTTCTCCCTGCTTCCAGCGTGCCTTCGCATATTCCAGAGGTCCAGATTAGAGTCCGGGGGAAATCATTGTTCATTTTCAATGTACTCCTGCTTCATAAAAATATAATGTCTCTACAGTAGCGCCTGAACTAAAAAAGTGGTAGACAATAATTTTTCACCACCAGGATGTGGCGATTGGGTCCCCTAATCCCCAGTCGCCCTTTAAAAGGAGCTCTGTCCTTCCAATATGCCTTCGTGGTGTACCGGTAGCACACTCTGCGCCTATTCGAGAGGTCCAAGTTCGAGTCCTGGTTTAGGACATTGTTCATTTTCATGTCTCCAGCTTAAAAAAATGACTCTACAAGTTAATGGCGTCTTTCTTAGAGTAGAGGTAGATAATGATGCGCGACTTCTTCCCAACCCAATTACTGCGCATAACATGCAAATAATCTCTCGAGGCGAGCGTCCGACTCAATGAAAATAAGTTGTTTAAAGATACTTGATTTTTATATAAGTCTGGAACAGTGCTTCTATTTTAGAATGTGACAGAGGAGGGAGTTAATGAGTTGATATCATTATCTCCTTAGCCAAAAAGCTGCTTGGAATTTTGAGAGAAATCCAATACTATCATGAATTAAATATGTCATTAGTTAAGCGGGGCACTAAAAATCACTCATAAAATCCATGAAAGAGTTGAAATGTATTGCAATCCACTGCCTTTTATCAAGAATATATGGCAACGATAGGAATATCAGAAAAATGAAAACGAAAGCTTCACCACAGGACAGCTACTTCTAAAACGGACTGCTGAAACCCCGATTTGTCTATAAATGTAGGTAGTAAGAACTCAGGAAAGGAGTATTTGCTATCCCTTTATCAGGTGGAAATGTAATGAATATCTGAATAAACCTGATCTCTTCGATTCGTGGAAAAATCTGACTACACTCGAATGGTGCACTTGCTCAAATAGGTAAAATGACATTAATTATTATATATTTTGCATATTAATTATAATATGCTTTGAACGGTTACAAACATTAAATAGAAAATGTTATTACCAAAAATGCTGCTCGCTGGTAGTATGTCTCTGGTACTCAGTACGAAACAATATTTTGGAAAATTGTTAATGTACCTTTTTAATGTACTTCCGGCTAACGAACAGGTTTTGTTTTAAACACCGCAAATTTTTAGTATTACTTAATATGTAAAAATAACTAGAATTACACGTTACAGTAAGGCAATATATTTATCTCAAATTGTTAAATATATTTACTCTTTTTTTCAGGTTCGAAACGAGTTTTATTAAAATTTAAAAAAAATATTTCAGAATTTACTATTCTTGAGCAAAAATTCAAATCTCTTCGCCTGAGTTTATTTGGTTAATTTAAAATGTATCTACATTTATGTGATATAAGAAAAGCACCAACACGCAGAATTGAAATTTTAATTTATTGATTTCAGAAAAGTTATAGTTTTAACTAAAATAAATTCAAACAAATAACAACAATTCTACTATTCACGAGGAAAACCTATTTCATGCACAGAAAGTTTATAGAAATAGTAAGATATAGAAAAGATCCCGAAGATTACTTTTGGTATGCTTGCTCAACGTTGGTCATCGACATATACTGAAGTATATGTCGATGACCGACGGTTGAGCAAATAAAGGCTGAATACGGAATTTTGTGAACTTGGTGAAACTTGATGATTATGACTGTAATTCATACAGCTACTTAATCCCCTCCCACAACTCATTGTTTGAGATAGAATCTCTGGTATAGTCTATGGTTGCATTTTTTTAAATTTCTAATTATTTATTCTAATTATTATAAATTTTAAATATTCAATTATTAACATAATGATCTTTCAGGGAACACTTCAGTTTAGCGAGCATAAAATAATCTACAAAGACACACCTAAGGAATGAAGCAGTGCTCGAAAAATGGGAAATTTTCTTTGTTAAATATTAACTGAAGAGCAGGTAATTAACTATATGAAAGCGCACTTTCGTTCGGCAGGAAACATATACTCTATCCAACCTAACTATTTTCAGACCTAGTTCTAATATTTTTCCAACGTTTGCCCCTACGCCATTGTAACATGCTAACATAACAAAAGCTTATCAGGACTACTATTTCTTCTGATTGCTTTGGCAAACATATTGGAATCGTGAGTAAGAACAGGAAGTTTACTAAAAACTATGTTCCTAAAAGTGTGGAAGATACAACACAAGTGGGAAGGGTTTAACTACCATTTATTCTTTACAGTTTACGGTTGCTCCCGCACTTCGTGATACAAAGACTAATACTTATGGTCTGAAACGTAAAAACCAAGAACTGCAAACTAAATAAGAGCTGAACTCAAATACTTTACAAAGACTAGTAACGATAAGATTGGCCTTTTAATCTTTACGTATGTAGCACGCAGAATGGGAGAAAAGTACAATACATCTTCAATATTTAGAGGACTAAATTGTGGCCTTAAAGGCGAACTACAACTAACTGAAAAGCGCTCGTGAAATAAGGTGGCGAGAAGTTTCTCTAACTCCTTCTTGGCTAAAAGCCACAACTTAATAGTTTGCAAGCTCAATTTGCATAAAAGAAACTAACCGCGTTTATTCTGGCCGGAAGTGGAAAATAAGAGGGGTTAGTAAAGTTTTAAAGTAAAATAAACGTTAGTAAATCTTAAAATCCTTACAGGCTAAGCAAGTTTTCCTCATAACAAAATTCTTGTAAATTATCCACTTCCAGTCAGACGTATCCACCAATATAATCGTTATTCCAGATTTCTATAGTTTCTGTAGTTCTGTTTCACTTTCTTCAATCCAAGCAGATAAATTACTTTTCCAGTCACGGTTTATTTGAAACCATCCCGATCAATGTCTGCCATTTTGATCACGTAAGGACATGGACAAATTTGACCTTTTTGGCATTGCGCAATAAATGCATGAAAGACAAATCAAGAAAAACATTTTTGTTTTTCAAACTTTACCAATGCAATTTTGGAAGCACAGTCTGTACCAAAATTAATCTCATCGGCTATTATTCGAAGATGCGGGTGATGATTTTTCAGCAGCAGTTATCGAATTTTTTGATGTCCTAATTCGTTCAAGATAGACAAGAATAACGCTCCTGGGTTGATCAACATTTTGTGCTAATGCCGAGACCAACCATAGTAACGAAATACAGTGGATCGCTCTAGTACTTCACCTGCTTATACTTTATTCAATATTACTAATATCCGTTTTGCTCTGTATTCCATTATATCAAATTTTCATCAATACTCTTTGATAAATATCGAATCAAAATAATTCTTCATTTTATTTTAGACGTTAATTTTGGAAAAGCAATTTGAGATGTCATGATAATATATGACGTTATAAGGTATTTCTCCCGCCTTCTTAGCATGCCTTCGTGATATAGTAGTCAGCACGCTTGGCGCGTAAAATCAAGAAGCACCTGATTCGATTCCTGGCGAACACATTGCTCATTTTTCATGTCTCCTTCTTCGAAATAACCTAGCGTCTCTACAGTTGCGCTCGAACTAAAAACGGTGGTGGATGATGATTCTCCATCACCAGGACTTGGTGATTGGGTTCCCTAATCCCCAGTCGCCCTTTAAAGCGGGAGTATAAGTTTTATTAAAAAGATTAGATTTAATTCCATGGGGACGCAATGTATATGTATAATGTAGCTAACTAATGTAGCTAATGCAATGTATATGTGTAATGTAGCTAAGAACTTTTATTCAAGTTCATTAAATTTTACTTAATAGACAAAAATAATTTGTAAAATTGATTAAGCTGCACATTGGTAGGAAACGTAGTCATGTTATAGTTCAACTGTCTTTCCTCCAAACATTTCTTTGCCTTTCTCTTCAAGAGGTAACCTCTCTAATAATACAAAAGTGCTTCATCTTCTTTTCGTTGTAATATCGATTTTGAAATCAGCGATTTAGTAAACGATTGTACAATGCCTAGAAGAATCTGAAGATACAATATTTAGGAAATATGAGATATGGAGCAGAAGTTCCTAGAGGAACACAATGATAATTTCTTTGGTCACTCTAGCTGTGTCTGAATTGGCATTAGCTGGTTGATATTAATTTCCTTTCTGTTAACAATGCTAGCTGCTTCTGGTTCACTGCAATACTGCTGGATTGATTTAG